ATGACAGGTATGTCCAAATGACTTGTTCTCTAAAGTCCCTTTCTGACTTATAACTTCAAAATTTGTTAAGCTAATAAAATTCCAAAGTTGGGTCCACTGAATTTTTTATTATTTACAAATATTTATGTATTTCAGAACAGGGGTCCACAAATTACCTATGAATCATCAAATATTTTAATATTTGTCAGCTATTTATCCCAACTTTTCAACTTTGTCACTGGTATAAGAAAGCAATCATAGATGCTAAACAAATGAGTATTTGTTACAATATTTATGGTCATTAAAATCTTAGTTTCATGTAATTTTCTTTTTTTTTTTTTTTTGTCGGTCGTGGGGCTTGAACTCTGGGCCTGGGCGCTGTCCCTCAGCTCTTCAGCTCAAGGCGAGCGCTCTACCACTTGAGCTACAGCGCCACTTCCGGTTTTCTGGTGGTTTATTGGAGATAGGAGTCTCACGGTCTCTCCTGCCCGGGCTGGCTTTGAACCGCGATCCTCAGATCTCAGCCTCCTGAGTAGCTAGGATTACAGGCATGAGCCACCAGCGCCCGGCGAGTTTCATGTAATTTTCATGAGTCATGAAATCATTTATTTTTTTAAACCATAAATATGTATAAACCAAGTCTTACAGGCCATATCAAAACATGTAGCAATCCCAATATGCAGGTCATAATCTACTAGTCCTCACAGCTGAATTCTATAAAGCCTTCAAAGGAGAATTTACTCCAATACTCCTCAAACTCTTTAATGAAATTGAAAGTGAAAGATCACTACCAAACTCATTCTATGAGGCCAGCATAACCCTCATCCCAAAACCAAATAGGGGCCCATCAAAGAAAGAGAATTATAGACCCATTTCTTTAATTAATATCGATGCAAAACTTCTCAATAAAATTCTGGCCAAACAACTTCAACAAATAATCAAAAAACTCATACACTATGATCAAAGGAGATTCATTCCAGGAATGCAAAGCTGGTTCAATATACACAAGTCAACACATCAATAGGAGCAAGGACAAGAACCACATGATCATTTCAACAGATGCAGAAAAAGCATTTGACAAGATCCAACACAAGATCCTTTATGGTGAAAGATCTGGAGAAACTAGGAATCCATGGATCATTTCTCAATATAATAAAGGCTGTAAATGACAAACCTACAGCTATCATTATACCTAATGGTAAAAAGTTAAAACTAAAACCAGGAACAAGACAAGGATGTCCACTCTCTCCAGTCCCCTTCAATATAGTATTGGAATTCCTAACCAGAGCAGTAAGGCAAGAGCCAAACATAAAGGGGATCCAAATAGGGAAAGAAGAAATGAAGCTCTCCCTTTTTACAGATGACATGATCCTGTATTTAAAGAACCCCACAGACTTCACTCCCAAGTTATTCGAGCTGATCCAAAATTTTGGCAAAATAGCAGGGTATAAAACTAACACACAAAAATCAGTGGTTTTCTATATGCCAACAATGAGAAGAACAAGGCTAAAATCAGAAAAGCAGCTCCTTTTGTAATAGCCTCAAAAAAAAAAAAAAAAAAAAAACCCTACAAATTAAATTAACCAAAGGTAAAGGACCTCTAGGATGAAAACTTTTAAAAACCTGAAAAAGTTAATTAAAGCAGATTTAAGGAAGTAGAAAAACTTCTCATGCTCCTGGATTGAGAAGATTAACATCATGAAAACAGCAATACTGCCAAAAGTTATCTACAAATTCAATGCAGTACACATCAATATCCCAACATTCTTTAATGAAATAGAAGAAGCAATCTAAAAATTCATATGGAATAATAGAAGACCCCAAATAGCAAAAACAATCCTTAGCAGGAAAAACAATGCTAGAGGAATATCAATACCAAACTTTAAACTCTATTATAAACCCATAGTTATTTATAAAAAACAGCTTGGTACAGGTATACGAACAGGCCTGAGGATTGATAGAATAGAACTGAAGACTCAGAAATCATCCCACAGACCTATGGCCACCTAATCTTCGATAAGATAAGGGAGCCAAATCATCAGATGTAAAAAAGATAGCCTCTTCCACAAATGGTGCTGGCAGAATGAGCTATACATGTGTAGAAAACTGAGGTTAGATCCTTATATATATCACCCTGCACCAGAATCAACTCCAAATGGATCAAAACCCTTGAGATAAGAGCAGATACCCTGAAATTCTTACAGGAAGGGATAAGGGATATACTAAGGCTCCTTGGCACAGGTTGAAATTTCCTAAATAAAGACCCAGAAATGCAACAAATCAAAGAAAGCCTGTATAAATAGAATTGCATTAAACTACAGCGCTTCTGCATGGCAAAGGACATAGCTAGTAAGACAAATAGAAAACCCACAGATTAGGAGAAGATCTTTACTAGCTATACAACAGACAAGGTCCTCATATCAAAAATATACCTAGAGCTCAAAAAATTAACTGCCCCAATAACAAGTTCTTAGAAAATACCCCATTAATAAGAGGGCTAAATAAGTACAAAGAGACTTGTCTAGAGAGGAAATAAGAATAGTCAATAGACACATGAAGAAATGAAAGTTCAACAACTCTGGCCATAAAAAAAAAGCAAATCAAAACAACATTGAGATTCCACCTCACTCATGTTAGAATGGCCATTATCAAGAAAACAAATAATAACAGATCCTGGTGGGGATGTGGTCAAAAGGGAACACTACTATACTGTTAGTGGGAATGTAAAATGGTTCAACACTCTGGAAAGCAGTATGGAGGTTTCTCAAAAAAAACTAAACATAGAGCTCTCCTATGATCCAACAATTCCACTACTGGGCATTTACCCAAATGATCACAAACAAAACCACACTAAAGCTACCAATACAACTATGTTCACTGCAGCATTATTTACCATAGTTAAGATATGGAACCAAACCAGATGCCACTCAGTAGATGAACTGATCAATAAAATGTGATGTGTATACACACACACACACACACACACACACACACACACACAAAATGGAATTCTATGCTTCCATCAGAAAGATTTCCCATAAGGAAATGGGAAGACTTGGAAAAAAAAATCATATTAAGTGAAGTAAGCCAGACCCAGAGAAACATAGGCTCCCTGGTTCCTCCATTTGTAGTAATTAGTATATATCTATGATAGTCCTGGCAGAGGATCACAATAGCTCAATAGCTATGTATATATGACCATATAAAATGATGCTAATCCAAATGAATGCCAAGATATGGAAACAAGAAGTTTTTTTTAATGTACTGTGTAAAGTTATTTCGTTTTTCTTTTGGTTTCCCCCTGCCCCTTGCTTTATCCCCCATTGTCACTGTCTTTGATTTTGGTATTCGGTATCTTATATGTATAGTTATCTGATTTGGGGGAGGGAAGGGGAATCACAAAATGGTGAAACAAAGGACAAAAGGTGAACCAATGCAACAGCAATACTACAAAGACATTATGTTGGAAATTAACTTTACAACTTGGGGGGAGAGGGAAATGGGGGGACGAAGTGGGAGAAAACGAGGGAGGTTAACAGTATTCAACAACAAAAAACGTGTACTCATTACCTTACTTGTGTAACTGTAATCCCTCTGCATATCACCTTTACAATAAATTAAAATTTGCCAGTCCATGTGTTAGAAACTTTATGGCTGGTATTTATAGTAAGCTTCTAAACTCTACAATTCTGGCAATCCCTGTCACCCCATACCTCAATCTCCCTCCCTCCCTTTTATTCAGGAAATGACAAGAAAAGAAAACCTAGCCAGGTGCCAGTGGCTCACACCTGTAATCCTAGCTACTCCGGAGGAGGCTGAGATCCTCCGAGGAACCAGCCCACAGGCAGAAAAGTCTGGAAGACTATTATCTTGAATTAAAGTACTAAAAGTCAGAAGTGGAGCTATAGCTCAAGTGGCAGGGCACCAGCCTTAAGCACAAAAGCTCAGAGGCAGTGCACAGGCCCTGAGTTCAAGCCCTAGGAACACACACACACACACACACACACACACACACACACACACACACACACACACGCCCTGAGTTCAAGCCCTAGGAACACACACACACACACACACACACACACACACACACACACGCCCTGAGTTCAAGCCCTAGGAACACACACACACACACACACACGCCCTGAGTTCAAGCCCTAGGAACACACACACACACACACACACACACACACACACACACACACACGGAAACTCGTTAACTTAAGGTAATGGACAGAAAAATAGAGACTGTTAATTCTCTAAAATCAAATAAACAACTTGCTATTAAAAAGCAAGGCATTCTCTATTAGCGAATGAAGTAGCTGCTATTTGTATACTATAAGAAAGTCTTAATACTGACTAACAAGAGGAAAAGTTAGTCTGAATTAAAGACTTTAAAATGCAATTTTATTGTTCACCAAGGAAGTATTACTGCAAAGCAGAAGGCCTAACAGGCCTGTTTTAATGAATAGATGACTCATCTGTAATCAGTACATTAATTGTTGGGATTCAAATGGGTGCTCTTAAAGTACTGGGAAAATAGCTTCATTTTTAAAACAGGTTAAGCATTCCCTCTACAGCCTTTTTTTTTTTTATTTTTTGTCGGTCATGGGCCTGAACTCTGGGCCCGGGTGCTATCCCTCAGCTCTTCAGCTCAAGGCTAGCGCTCTACTACTTGAGCCACAGTGCCACTTCCAGCTTTCTCTGCTTATGTGGTGCTGAGAAATCAAACCCAGGGCCTTGTGCATGCAAGGCAAGCACTCCACCACTGAGCCATCTTCCCAGCCCCCCTATAGCCTTTTTTTTTGAAGTATCAATTTGCTTTGCAAACTGTTTCTTCCTAAAGATTGTATATGTAAACTTCCCTAAAACACTGCCAAAGTCATAACAAATTCAATGCTATTAAAATTTCAAATTAAAAAAAGGCCATATCAATTTGGCTAACACTTTCAATATTCAATATTCAAATTTCAAATCTATACCATCATTTAGCCTCCCAATCACTATGGTCTACACTCTACCTTTTGCCTTTTTTTGACCCTTTCAAATTATTTCGGAACTTGTCTTCTTCATATTGGAGTTTCACCTCTCTTGCTCCAGTCTGAAGATTCAGCCGTACATGGGATCCTGCAGGAACAGCCTGACCTAAAAGCCAAGAAAAGGAAAGGTTTATGAGGTACTGGATCCAAGGAAGGACACTGGGATTGAAAGTCTGGCTAACATGCACACAGGACTGACTAGTTCATGAAGACAGATTGCTGTGTTCAGCTGCCTCCTCCATCCAGCCCTCTCTCTCCCTCTAACCCACACATCCCACTCACATATACTCCTTTCACTAATCTATAAGTGAATCCGTGATGGGCTGAGGCAAAGCAGGTAAGATGATCTATACTTGAATCTATAGATGATTGTCTGATTATTATAACTTTAGTATTTAAGCTATTGTTTTCTTTAAATTTAGCTAATAAGCTTTTTATGCGTAAGAGACAAATAGTGGACATCTACTCTGTTCTTAGGATATAGTTATTGTTTCCTCCGTGACATCCTTCCTACACACACATTCCATACACAGTCCCACAGAATCTTAGGCAGCCTGACACTCTAATCTTTTTAACCAAGCTCTTTCTAAATTAGCTGTCTCCTTAAGCATAGGCACTGTATCTCTCCTTTTAGATATTTCCAGCCCTTATGTCAGAGTTTGGCACATAAAACTTATACCACCTAACTTTAAGAGAAGGAAGAAAGAAGCAATTAGAAGGCAACAAGACATAGCAAGCCAAGGAATCAGGGAACAGAACCAAGAGAAACTGATGCCAACAAAAGAGGCTAATCCATTAGCTGGGAAAACAAGTGTGAATGTATGGTCTATTCATATGCATTGCACCAAATTACCCCAAGATAGTAAAAAAGCAACTATTCAAGATCACATACTACAAGTGGAATGTTATACCCATTCATTCACAGAAATAATATTTACCAGGCCATGATGTAGATGCTAGGAATATAAAGATGAATATTAATGGCCATAGGGATAGAGCAGTTAAGGAAGGAGCTTAGTAGACTGAAATTGTGAAGCAAAGATGGTACTTCCAATACTTCAACTTTGACTCTTTCTCCTGCCAGAGGATGGTGTTGACTTACTATGTCTGATTCAAGAACCCAAAATTATGACAATCTGAACATTTTCCTACCAGGGAAACACACAGTACAACTTTTCTCAGAATGGCCAGGTAAGCATAAAAGGATAGATAAGGATGTAGCAAGAACTTGATAATTTTCTCAATTCTGGAAACCATTAACAGACTCTCAAGACCCCAGCCACTTTCCTTCCAACCAAGCAGCCAGGGAAACACAAGACTACAACATGCCACTTCTGTTGTGTTGGTCCCATTATAACAGAGAGCTGCATACCTCTGGCTAAAATACAACAGCCTACATAAGGATATTGTGTAATGATCTCCTAGTTCCAGCCAACATGCTTTAAGGTTAAAAAAAAATATGTTCAGAGTAGAGAAATTTCTCCCTGGTAACGCTTCATTATAAGATTAGGTTGGGAAGTTCAATGAGGCAAAAAGTGAGACCTAGATAGGGGATAAAAAGGAATCCCTAATAGAAGCAGCCCTATGTGTAAAGGCTTGGTACCAAAACTGACAAACCACTAGAGTGAAGTAGCAGACCAGGCAGACAGAATTTGAGAGGCTGTGGGGGTTCCTGGCTTGATGTATCATCAGGAAGCCTGGTTTATTTTCTTTTTTCTTTTTTTTTTGGTTGGTCGTGAGGCTTGAACTCTGGGCTTGGGCACTGTCCCTCAGCTCTTCAGATAAAGGTAAGCATTCTACCGCTTGAGCCACAGAGCCACTTCCAGTTTTCTAGTGGTTTTATTGGAAATAAATGTCTCCTGGACTTTCCTGCCCAGGCTGGTTTTGAACCGTGATCCTTAGATCTCGGCCTCCTGAGTAGCTAGGATTACAGGCGTGAGCCACTGGTGCTCTTATCTCCAACAAACCACCAGAAAACTGGACGTGACACTGTAGCTCAAGTGATAGAGCACTAGCCTTGAGCTGAAGAGCTGAAGGACAGAGCTCAGTGCCAGAGTTCAAGCCCCATGACTGACAAAAAAAAAAGAAAGAAAAAGAGTGTTATGGAGCGGGGGGAGGATGGGAAGGGATGGGAAGGGAAAACAAAGGAGGAGGCTACAATGCTTGATGAGAAATGTACTCATTATCTTGCCCATGTAATTGTAACCCCTCTGTACAGTATTTTCACAATAAAAAAAAAATAAAACCAACTGTTGAAGAAGATGGTTCTGAGGTAAGACTGAATAAGGCAAGAATAAGGGGATGGGGGTGGGGGGGGAGGGGGGAGATGGCACCATTTCTCTTATTCCTTTGATTATGGGGCAAAAGGTAACTTTTTCACACAGCTAGTGCTCTACCATTTGAGGTATGACTGCAGTTCCAGCTTTTTGCTGGTTAATTGGAAATAACAATCTCTCAGATTTATCTACCCAGGCTAACTATAAACCTCAATCCTCAGATCTCAGCCTCTTGAGTAGTTATGATTACAAGCATCTGGGTGACAAGTAAGTTCTTTAAATCTGGGAAGGGAAAAGGCTACCTCAACCTATCAAGACAACAGTAACAACAACAACAACCAAAAAGTAACAAAACAGTACAGACCCTCCTTGGCTGAATGCTAGCCAGATTATCCTTGATCTACCAGTCTACATTACCATCTCCTCACTTATATCTCCAAAACCTATAGATTTTTTTCCCTGCTTTATCTCTTGGACTTAAACCCTGATCAGTGAGGTTCCTTAGTATCTTACCTTTCCTACTTCTTTAGCTTTGTCCACCATTTACTCTCACACTCTATTTCCCAATCTATGGAAGGAACACACTCCCTCCTGACAGGGAGCTATTTTACTGTTTCTTTTGTCCAGAATGTTCTTTCTAACTGTAGCCTCACTTCTTCACCCTTCCAAATTCAGATAAAGGTCATTTCCTCTGTGTAGCATTCTGTTTCCTCAGACCAGTTCTATTGACCTCAAAGGTTCTCACAGCAGCATGAATCCTTTCTTTGTGGCTCTTACATAATCAGTAGTTCTGTGTTAGTTTTAAATTCTTATCTGATTATTCAGGCTGCTGGTAGCTCACACCTGTAAGTAATCTTAATACTCAGAAGTCTGAGATTAGGTTAATGGCTTTGAAGCCCAGACAGAAAAGTCCATGAGACTCCACACCACCTCCAAAATAAACAGGAAAAAAAAAAAAAAGGCTGAAGCCAGGCACCGGTGGCTCACTCCTGTAACCCTAGCAACTCAGGAGGCTAAGATCTGAGGATCACAGTTCAAAGCCAGCCTGGGCACAAAAATCCATGAGACCCTTGTCTCCAATAAACCACTCAGAAAACAGAAAGTGGTGCTGTGGCTCAAGTGGTAGAGCACTAGCCTTGAGCTAAACAGCTCAAGGACAGTGCCCAAGGCCGAGAGTTCAAGCCCCATGACCAACAACAAAAAAAGGGGGTAGGGGCTAAAGATGTGTTTCAAGTGATAGCCAGAAGAGCAAAGCAATCTGAGTGAGCTCAAGGCTTTCATTTCAAACTCCAGTATCACCAATTAATTTATCTGATTAATTGTTCACTATTTTATCCCCATGGAGTGGAAATCCTGGCTGATCTGCCAAGTATTTAGAAAGTCAGGTAGACTGATAATAATCAGGGTTTGCGGGTTGTTTTGGTTTTTTTTTTTTGCTTGTTTTATTAGTAAAAACAGTACTAATGTTTATAATAAAACTAGTCTCAGCCAGGCGCCAGTGCCTCATGCCTATAATTGTAGCTATTCCAGAAGCTGAGATCTGAGGATCGAGGTTCAAAGACAGACTGGGCAGGAAAGACCATGAGACTCTCATCTCCAGTTAACCACTCAAAAACTGGAAGTGGCTGGGGGCTGGGAAGGTGTCTCAGTGGTAGAGCACTTGTCTTGCATGCTCGAGGCCCTGGGTTCGATTCTTCAGCACCACATAAGAAAAAAGCCAGAAGTGGCGCTGTGGCTCAAGTGGTAGAGTGCTAGCCTTGAGCTGAAGAGCTGAGGGACAGCGCCCAGGCCCAGAGTTCAGGCCCCACGACCAGACCCCCCCCCCCCAAAAAAAACTGGAAGTGGCACTGTGGCTCAAAGTGGTGGAGTGCTAGCTTTGAAAAAACTCAAGGACAGTACCCAGTTCCTGAGTTCAAGCCTGAAGACCAAAAAACAACCAACAAAAAAAACAAAAAGCAAAAAAAAAAACCCTACTTTCTTCAATTTTCCGACTTTTGATCAACATTAGACAGAGGGGAAAAAAGGCCATAAGTTTATGAATTTCAGATCTAACAGAATAGATTATGCTAAGCTGGCCAAGGAAAAGACTCAGTTCTTGTGTGAATCATTATTGCTCTTTACACATTAGCTACCACAGGGAGCAAGAGGACCTACAATAGCATTAACTCAAACTACAGGTTACAATCACTTAAAATATGTGAAACCAATCATGGCAGCCACAGTGGCAGAAACAACAGAAAAGAGTATTTCAAATGTTTCCACCCCATTGGGAAAAAGGCCAAAATGGAGATCATGTGATCTGACCTGCATCTTGCAGTTTCTGTGAATGAAGAAAAAGTAACAGAAAGAACACTAGGGAAGAGCAAAACAAAGGCAAAAGCAAAGTCATGAGATACATACACCAAAGGTGAGGGGTTGAGGAGAGCAAAGGCAAAAAATTCCTGCAAAGCCTACAATAGCTGCTTCAAACTACTGACTCTTTGTGGGCAGATTCCAAGGCTTACTACCACTGCCGGCAGAAATTTTATTTTCCTTTCGGTGTGGGGGAATGAGGTTTGAACTCAGAGTCTTGGCACTTGCTAGGCAAGCACTCTGGCTCAGCTCTTCATTTAAATAAGGTCACCACATTTTTGAGTTTTTACTCCCATTTCAACTGTCACTGACTTCAATCACAGGCCGGGACCCAGATGATTCTCCCATCAATTTTCTTCCTCCCTATTTGTCACATTGTTTGTACCATGTGATCTTGGAGGTTCTTCTACTAGGTAAGAGTGTACTTTTCCTTTCTCTGAACATGGAATTTGGCTTGAGTGTTGCTTTGGCCAGTGAG